GGGGGGGGGGGGCTGCTCCACCTGGCTCTGCTCCAGCACAGGGAGGAGTGAGGCTTCATTCACTGGCCCTGCCTTCAGCAAAATTTCTCAACTCCTATTGGCTGGAAACTGGCCAATGGGAGCTGAGGGATTTTGCTGGGGGGCGGGGATAGTGGAAGCTTTCTCCTCCCTACCCAGACTGCATAGCAATGAGCAGCCAGCTGTTTACAGGGGCTGCAACTGCTCTGTAGTAAGGGTGTCAGTGAGACAGCTGGATCTGGCTGTTTGGCAGGACGCATCCGGCCCGCTCACTGCCTCTTGCCCATCCCTGCACTATGAGATTTTACCCGGCATTGCTCCGGTTCTTAACGCACTAAAGGGTTGGTTTTGGTTTTGGTTTTGGTTTTGGTTTGGAAAATAAAAGGAAAATGTACATGATTGTATTTTTCAGAAATACAGTGTTGTTTTTATGAAGTTAATTTTTATTTCAGATTTCTTTTAAAAAGGGGATTGTTACATTTTTTTCCCCCATGTAATTGTTTTTTGGTAAATTCTTTAAATGGGAATTCCATCAAGTGTGTTTTTAATTTGTCCCTATAAACTTTTATCATTTGCTATGCTTTAACAAAAAAAGGCTACAGTCAATGTGGTTTTCAATAACGTTATCTTCTAGTTTTCAAACCTTAAGCACTGATTTAGCTGTGCCAAAACAGAGCACTACTCCAAATTTCTCTGTTTTATCCCTTTTCTGTAAGGTTTATTGAGAAGCAATCCTATCCCAGGTTCATCCTATTTTTCTGGCTCGTGGTTCAGTCTCTTTCAACATTCGCTCAATTTTTGCAATTTTGAAGACTGTACTTGATTTGGTGATTCTTTTCCGTTTTGTTTTATGAGAAGCAATCCCATTCCAGGCACATTCCATTTTCCTGGCACAACCAAACCCGTCCTTGTTTTAAGTTATGATAAGAGGAAGCCGTATACTGAACTTGGTGATCCTAGCTCTTACTGTTGAGGAGGAATATTCAATTCTTAAGCATTAATTTAGCTGTGCCAAAACAGAGCAGAAGTCCAAATTTCTCCATTTTATCTCTTTTCATAGAATCATAGACTCATAGAATACGAAAACTGGAAGGGACCTTGAGAGATCAAGTCCAAACCCCTGCCCTCACAGCAGGACCAAACAATGTCTTGTCCATTCCTGATAGATGTCTAACTAATGTGCTCTAAAATATCTCCAGAGATGGAGATTCCCCAGCCTCCCTAGGCAATTTAGTCCAGAGTTTAACCACCCTGACAGGAAGGTTTTTCTGATGTTTAACCTAAACCTCTCTTGCTGCTTCTCCCATTGCTTCTTGTCCTATCCTCAGAGGCCAAGGAGAACAATTTTTCTCCCTCCTCCTTGTGACACCTTTTTAAATACTTGAAAACCCCTTTCCATCTTCTCTTTTCCAAACTAAACAAGCCCAATTCTTTCAGTCTTTCCTCATAGCTCATTCTCTGTAAGGTTTATTGAGAAGCAATCCTATTCCAGGCTCATCCCATTTTTCTGGCTCATCTTGGTTCAGTCCAGGGGTGAAAAATAACTTAATTTTTTACAAATACTGTCATATCACAGTCCTCACCCGGGGGCCCTCATGGCAGGAGGTTGCAGGGGTTGTGATACAGCAGTACCTGTAAGAAATTTAATTGTGGGTTAGAGTGCGGGGATCTCAAGGCAGAGTGTTGGGGAGTCTAGGTGGAGGGGGGCTCAGGGCAGGAGCTTGGGGATGTGAGGGAGGGGGGCAGGTATTGAGGATGCAGGGGTGAGGAGGCACTTAGGGCTGGAGGTGTGGGGGGGTGCAGTAGTCAGGGTTGGGGGTTCAGAAGGGGTTCCGAGCAAGAGATGGGTGTATAGGGGGGTGAAAAGTGAGGGTGGAATCCAAAGATCTCCCCCCCCCACACACACACACCCCGTGCGGATTTGTACCAGGGCTGTTTACTCTTTCTGGCTACCTCTAGACTAGAGGCTTCTTTCGGAAGAAGCTTTTTTTGGAAGAGATCTTCTGAAAAAACTTCTTCCGAAAGAGAGCATCCACACTGCAAAAGTTAATCGAAAAAGCGATCGGACCATTCAGTCTGGACGCTTTCTCACATGTAAGCTGTGATTGCTATGGACAGAATGGCCACCAGAGCACCTGTTGCTTTTTCCTTTTTCCTCTTCTTCTTTTTCCTTTCTCCCTCTTCCCCGTCCACACACACCTTTTTGCGACAGCTCTTTTGCAAAAAGGCGTCTTCCTCGTAGAATGAGGATTACCAGTGCTGGAAAAACCCCTCTGTTCTTTCTTGTGGAGGAACGCGATTACAGGGTGGACGTTCCTCAAGTTTTGTCGGAAAAACAGTCATTTTTCCGACAAAACTGGAGTGTAGACATACTCTCCCTTCCTGCCCCTGTCAGGGAGTGAGAGCCAAGTGCACGGCTCCTCTGCCCCCTGTTCTCCCCAGCCAGAGTCAGGAATGCAGCAAACTGCATTCCCCCTTGCTCCCTGACAATGATGAAGGGGAACAGCCACCAATGTCCCCATATGAATCTGGTTAGGGGCGACTTCAGGCCCCTCATCGCCTTCCACCGGGGGTGGGAGACTTGGGGCTGGGGAGTCACAGACTGTGGCTGGGGGAGGGGCGCCCCCAGCCAACCCCTTTCACCTGTCTGGTGATTCTGTCTCTTTTCTGTATGGCCTGAGGTGGAAGGGGCCTTGGGGAGGAGGGACGAGGCCATGGTTGGGGCATCAGTGTCTCCCCCACTCCCAACGCTGTTAGGAAACTTCCGCCTCTCCTGTCTTGACTTAACGATTAATCTTCATTAAAGACTAGAAAATGTACCCGGCTCGGCTGTTGTACTTAATTTTTGATTTTCTTCATTTCAGTCATTGCTGTGGGGTGGGGGTGGGGAGGAGGAGTTCAGGGTGCAGGCTGCCCCGAGGAGAGAGGACTACCCCGGCCCTCTCTCACTGTAGCAGCTTGGGGCCAGGTGAGAAGCGCCTCTCCATGGCCGCTGCAGCTCCACGGGGACAGGCGGGGGGAGGGGTGCATGTCCCTCAGCTGGGGCAGGTGCAGGTGCAGGTTTGTCTGCCCCCCTGCGCTCCCCAGCCAGAGTGAGGAATGCAGCAAACTGTGCACTTTCCCCTCACTCCCTGAGGAAGGGGACCAGCCAGTAAGGTTCCTGTAGGAACTGGGCAGGGGGGTAGTTTGGGAAGCTGCAGGTCCCCTCCCCCGTTCTCCCTAAAGGGCACCTGTGGGGTGAGAAGCTCAGGACTGGGGCAGTCCCGGATGGGGGGAGGGCGTGCACCCACAGCCAGCCCCTTGCACCTGCCTGGTGATCCTGTCTCTTTTCTGTATGGTTTTATGCGTCCCTGTATGAATCGGGAGGGAACCTTTATTTTGCTTTAAGTCAGGGGTTAGCAACCTACAGCATGCGTG